TATTGTAGATTTGCACACAAATCTATTATGCAAGTCTGGGAAAATTTTAAAAGTAAGTACAATTAATATATGTAAATTTTAAAGATTATTTTTAATTTACTTTTAATTCTTCACTCACTAAAGATAGAATTATTTTTCATGCTTTTTTTAGAACTAAAAATACTTTCGAAGCACCATTAGGTATTAGGTAATTATTGATTTATATTGAAACTTGAATACTTTATTTCAGGAAGAAAGAAAACGCGATAAAAAGAATGGGAATATGACAAGGAGATACAGGGTAGACTAAACAGACGGTGACACAAGGGGTGTGCACCTTTAAGATGACAGCTGCAGACCACACTTCTGATGTCCCTGCCTAAATTGTCAGCAATATTTTATGAGGTCCGTGACCTTGTACCATAATGCTACACCTCACTCGTCATTCCATAGCATAATGCTACACCCTGTATCATTATGCTACCTCATGTCACAACACCCTACACTACACGGGAGCCGGTCGGCCGAGCGGACAGCACGCTGGACGTGTGGTCCTGGGTTCGATCCCAGGCGCCGGCGAGAAACAATGGGCAGAGTTTCTTTCACCCTATGCATACCCTGTTACCTAGCAGTAAAATAGGTACCTGGGTGTTAGTCAGCTGTCATGGGGTGCTTCCTGGGGGTGGAGGCCTGGTCGAGGACCGGGCCGCGGGGACACTAAAGCCCCGAAATCATAAGATATATTATATAATACTCAAGATAACCTCAAGATAACCATTGGGGTCCAAGCACAAAATTACCACAGCTTGAGGGAGATATATAGGATGTGGACATAATATATGTTATATCGGGGACAGGCAGCCTGCGTTTACATACCTATTTACTGCTAGGAGAATAGAGGCTTTAGGTATTTAGAAACGTGCTTTACTAAATCTTTCCCGCCTGGGATTTGAACCCGCGAAGCTCGATTGTGTATAGAGAACGAAGCCTACTGTACTACAGGGACCCCTCTGAACATGTGTCTGCCTCGTTTACGGGTTATTCATGCCCGTGCCACCTCATAAGTGGCTTAATCTTTATCAATCTAGGTCCTGAACGATGACTATTTTAAAGATAGAGATGATAGGAGCCTTCACAAGAAGGTGACCAGACCACACACTAGAAGGTGAAGGGACGACGACGTTTCGGTCCGTCCTGGAAACATTCTCAAGTCGATTGGACGGACTTTACAAAGAGATAAAAGGAGGGTAACCAGGATAGGTTGAGGGATAGAGACCAAGCCTCAGAGAACGACATTTAAAAGGGACAGAGAGAAAGAATGTCAACATTGAAATTGACTGAACGGTCAACACCCCCCCCCCCCACCACCCTCCCTCCCCCCTCCCCCCCCCCCACACACACACAGCTAACAAAAAAAAAACTCCTTTTGTGAATTAGACAAATTAATTTAGTTTTTTTTTCTGTCAAAATCCAATCATGATTTTAACATCATGATTTTAACAATCTGATTTAATTCATTAAAACAATCGTAGGTCTTTGTTGTCATGTTGGGAGATCAAAGGGTTTTAAAAAGGCCAATCCATCTTCCGCGAATTATTTTTTTTTTTTTAACAACATGCCACTGTATGTGGGTTTCGTGTTATCGGGGTTTCCATGTTACCGGAGGTGTCGTGAACTGGGGTTCGCTTAAACGAGGGTTTCGTGTTATTGAGTAGTGCTACTAATGTCAGATCTGATCATTCACCTGTTAGCATTCTTTTGTTTTGTTCATTTTTACAGGTTAAAAACGGATTTTGACGTCAACACACACACACACACACACACACACACACACACACACACACACACACACACACACACACACACACACACACACACACACACACACACACCCACACATACACACACACACCCACACACACACACACACACACCCACACACACACACACACACACACACACACACACACACACACACACACACACACACACACACACACACACACACACACACACACACACACACACCTGTGTCCGAGATCTCTGTACAAAAACGTACACAAATAAACTTTTGTTTCAACTCTAAGCCTTTCTTAAGTTGCAAAATATACGCCACAGTTCTTGAAGATTAGGAGGCGAGGGAATGAATGAAACTTTTTTTGCACTTTCTTTCACTTTGACAAGAAACAATAAGTAGATTTAGAAATACTTTGCCTTACAGAAAGCCCTGCACTGAAATTATGTAAAATTTACAACCAGTCTTGTTGGATACAAGCCATATTGAGCACTATTCACCAATAGACGTAAAAACCTACCTAACCTTCCGCGCCTTACACTAGGCTAATATATCCTAGCCTAATGATAATTTTTGACACAATTACCATTAACCAACTGTCATGTATGTGATTTGATCACAGTTTAGTGCGACGGTTTCCTTAAGAGATCAACATTAACCCTCAGTTCTTAGACAATCAAATCTAAGAAGTTAAACAATCAAATGTTTCAACATGTACTCCAAAGTCTGCACAAGGTACCGGACACAGCTGCTCCATCATGTGTCTAGGGAACGCCAACGGCCCAGACTTCAACCTGGAAGCCGGACACTGTGTATCCGTTGTGTGTCACCCGTATGCTCCTGGTTATCGTCCCTTTCCCCAGGAAGACAGAGCAGCTCTGCCCGCTTTCCGCTGTGCTCACTTGCGACTGATAATGCGAGCGGTGTGAATGGCTGGCGCATGAATGGGGTTGGTTAATCTTGTACTGGCGCGCTGCTAATTACCTTTACTTGAACAGTCGGGTTCATACGGGCCACGAACCTGGCCAATCTGGGGCCAGATTCACGAAGCAGTTACGCAAGCACTTACGAACCTGGGGTCAGATTCACGAAGCAGTTACGCAAGCACTTACGAACCTGGGGTCAGATTCACGAAGCAGTTACGCAAGCACTTACGAACCTGGGGTCAGATTCACGAAGCAGTTACGCAAGCACTTACGAACCTGGGGTCAGATTCACGAAGCAGTTACGCAAGCACTTACGAACGTGTACATCTTTCCTCAATCTTTGACGGCTTTGGTCACATTTATTAAACAGTTTACAAGCATGAAAACTTCACATTCAACTGTTATTATTGTTATAAACAGCCTCCTGGTGCTTCGGAGCTCATTAACTGTTTAATAATTGTAAACAAAGCCGCCAAAGATTGAGAAAAGATGTACAGGTTCGTAAGTGCTTGCGTAACTGCTTCGTGAATCTGGCCCCTGGTCCATAGAGAGCCTTATCACGCCAGAACCACTGGACCCTCTAGCACCAAGGTCCTTAGGCTTACTAAACCCACTTTTTTTAAGGTTAGCACCACATACGTACGTTTTCTCTAACACTTTTATCATAATTTATAATAACTATTATACTTTATGTATATGATGTATTATACTTTATGTATATGATGTATACTGTAATTTGGTACTGCGAATCAAGAGGGGACCCATACCCATGGGGTTATCTTGAGGTTATCTTGAGATGATTTCGGGGCTTTAGTGTCCCCGCGGCCCGGTCCTCGACCAGGCCTCCACCCCCAGGAAGCAGCCCGTGACAGCTGACTAACACCCAGGTACCTATTTACTGCTAGGTAACAGGGGCATTCAGGGTGAAAGAAACTTTGCCCATTTGTTTCTGCCTCGTGCGGGAATCGAACCCGCGCCACAGAATTACGAGTCCTGCGCGCTATCCACCAGGCTACGAGGCCCCCTCACCCCCTTTAGGGTGCCCTAAATCTGTACCCATTCTCCCCACCGAGATTTAATAAGAACACACAAGTTGCTAAACACATTGGGCACATCCTTACTTAGGCCAACATGGGAGCTATACACACTCAAGATCAAGTTCAAGTTCGGGTAAGTTCATTGAGACAAGAAAAAAAATACATCTCAAAGGGATAGAGTAGCTTAGGCTACTTCTACCCCCCCCCCCCCCAATACACACTCATCCACCGCCCTGAGGCCAGATTCACGAAAGCACTTACGCAAACACTTACGAACCTGTACATCTTTTCTCAATCTTTGGCGGCTTTGTTTCCAATTATTAAAGAGTTAATGAGCTCCGAAGCACCAGGAGGCTGTTTATAACAATAACAACAGTTGATTGGCAAGTTTTCATGCTTGTAAACTATTTAATAAATGTAACCATAGCCGCCAAAGATCGAGGAAATATGTACACGTTCGTAAGTGCTTGCGTAAATGCTTTCGTGAATCTGGCCCCAGGTAAGGCTGAAGGGAACTATCAGGGGGAAAGCGCCAAGCCCTTACGACTATATAGCACTGGGAAGGGGTCAGGATAAGGATTTGGGATTTGGCCCAACCACTTGTCGCCGACCTGCATGACGCGAGATCGTCGCTCTACCGTCCAGCCCAAGTGGTTGGCCCAAGTAAGACTGAAATGAATAATACTTGGTGAGTCAGCCATAGACTTAGGACCCGAACAGGAATATTCATCTACCCCCCCCCCCTCCTCCCCCCAAAAATACTCATCTGCTTCACTGGGTAAGATCGATAAAACTTTTTTAGTTTCCTAAAGCCTTGCCTAGTCATAAAGTTTCAGTTTAAGCCTAATGACTTTAGGCCCGTTGACGTCGACTTATGCACGACACCTGTGACTTCACCCTCCAGGAACGACAAGTCACCTTCCAGGAACGACAAGTCACCCTCCAGGAACGACAAGTCACCTTCCAGGAACGGCAAGTCACCCTCTAGGAACGACAAGTTACCTTCCAGGAACGACAAGTCACCTTCCAGGAACGACAAGTCACCCTCCAGGAACGACAAGTCACCCTCCAGGAACGACAAGTCACCTTCCAGGAACGGCAAGTCACCTTCCAGGAACGACAAGTCACCCTCCAGGAACGACAAGTCACCCTCCAGGAACGACAAGTCACCTTCCAGGAACGACAAGTCACCCCTCCAGGAACGACAAGTCACCTTCCAGGAACGACAAGTCACCTTCCAGGAACGACAAGTCACCCTCCAGGAACGACAAGTCACCTTCCAGGAACGACAAGTCACCCTCCAGGAACGACAATTCACCTTCCAGGAACGGCAAGTCACCTTCCAGGAACGACAAGTCACCCTCCAGGAACGACAAGCCACCCCTCCAGGAACGACAAGTCACCTTCCAGGAACGACAAGTCACCCTCCAGGAACGACAATTCACCTTCCAGGAACGGCAAGTCACCTTCCAGGAACGACAAGTCACCCTCCAGGAACGACAAGTCACCCCTCCAGGAACGACAAGTCACCTTCCAGGAACGACAAGTCACCTTTTAGGAACGACAAGTCACCCTCCAGGAACGACAAGTCACCCCTCCAGGAACGACAAGTCACCTTCCAGGAACGACAAGTCACCTTCCAGGAACGACAAGTCACCCCTCCAGGAACGACAAGTCACCTTCCAGGAACGACAAGTCACCTTCCAGGAACGACAAGTCACCTTCCAGGAACGACAAGTCACCCCTCCAGGAACGACAAGTCACCCCTCCAGGAACGACAATTCACCTTCCAGGAACGACAAGTCACCCTCCAGGAACGACAATTCACCTTCCAGGAACGACAAGTCACCCTCCAGGAACATCTACCCAAAATAACATTACCGTACTGATCATCTGTAATTTGAGACGAAACTGCCTCTTTTCCCGTTATAAAATTCCCTCAGTTTGTCTCCAATAATTATGTTACTTTCTGATTACATTTTTTGTGTGTGGATAGGCAGGCAGGAAGGTTACTCAGTGGACAAAATATTGTAGTTCTTGCGAGGCAGGATCAGGTATAACATTTGGGGTTTACGGCTCATGCTCGGTGATGATATGGAAAATTGGTTTACTGAGAATTATATAAAATATTATTAAATGTAATAATTTCCCCTGTATTTTAATGTAACTTTATTCTCCAATTTTTGTAAATCGTTTATAGGTACATAAGTATAACATTCAGTTTTTTCTAAAGATCTTGTTCTGTACTACTGAAACACTTGTTCACTAAGAATTGTAATGTATAATTGCCTTGTAACACTTATGTATATGTAATTTATATTGTATTTTTTTTAAATAAAGATAAAAAAAAAAAAAAAAAAAAAAAAAAACTTTGTCTCCGGTGATATACCTTGCGTAATTAACCCAGCGTAATTACCTAAGTTGTAGTTACAGGATGAAAGCTTCACTCGTGTTGTCCTGTCTTCCCAGAACTCTTTGTACGCATTGAAATATGGAACAAATGCATATTTACTTCTGATAACTCTTCACCAAAATAAACTTTTAACGGTCGCTGGTTTGCTAATATCTAAGTTTCCTATCAGTTAACTAATGGTCGTTCTAAACGATCACAGAACTCCACAAGTCTACAACGGCGACGATTAGCCTAGTCATTTTTCGTTCACTTTGTAAACATATTTCTAATCACAGAGTAAAAAAAAACAGGACTGTACTCTAGTAATCTTTCATTTCGGGCCTTTTATCCCACTACTAAGTTCCAGGATTACTCAAGCAATCACTTGCGAAACCTGTACATCTTTTCTGAATCATGTCGGCTTTGTTTACATTAAATTGAAACAATTCACCATCTCCTAAGATCTACGAGGCAACTTAAACACTGATAACGTTGGGTTGAGAAGTTTCTCCCAGGATTGTAAACTAGTTTAACAAATATAAACAAAGCCGCTAAGGTTCAGAAAAAAATATATTATCAAGTCGAACGACGTGATAATTGTCCCGGACGGATAGAATCGTTCTAGCTTCTTAGTGGTTTGCGTGTCTTAATTTTCACCCTACGATGCTGGGACTTACTGTCTCTAAAGATGTATAGGTTTCGCTAGTTGTTGCGTAACTGCCTGGGACTCACCGATTGGCGAACCCTCAAACCACTGGATAAGCCCAAACACTTCCACTGATCACTTCACACTGCCTCTCGAGTCATTAACACCTGCTTAATTATACTCAACACCCCACCAAATGTGGCGTCAATATTTCTATACTCAACCTCACCCATGCGGTACCTTATCAAGTACCTTATCCAGATAACACAAGTGATTAACTACTGGACATCACATCATGATAACAATGAGGTTAATATAAATACATTTGTCCTTCACAATCGGGGGTTTAGCAAACTGTGTAATATCAAGAGGCTATTATGAGGCGCGGCCGAATTTAGTTTGTAAACAATTCTCGCTTCACAGGACTTATTGCATGGCCCAAGATGATAAAGCACCTCTTGCCTGCAGTTTGCTAAATCTCGGAATGAAAGGAAACAGTAAGGGAACGTACCTTGACAACACGGTGGCTTTCTGTCCCACGAGGAGCTAAAAATATTTCTTACCTGTAAAGACAGGAAAGGGAATTATTAATTTTTCTATTAATTTTATATTTATTAATTTTTAAATTATTATTTATTAATTTTATTTTTACTAAATTATTAATTATTAATTTTATTAATTATTAATTTTATTAGTTATTTTATTAGAATTATTAATTTTCAAATTATTTTGAATAGGTGACTCTTGAAGATCGAGGTGCTACTTACCTTGTTTGAAGGATGAGGTAACTGCTGAACGACGACTGAAGCGATTGGGCCAAGCGATTGACCAATCACTACGATTTTCGATCACAAAATCTTACACCACTAATTTCACTAATTTAATTATTATCAAAAGAAGGCACCACACCGGGAATATAGAACACTATATCACTAAGTAGTTAAAAGTAAACTGTCATTTTTCAATTATAAAACATAATTCCACCAGTGTTGCCAGATTGTAATAGTTTTGCCACATCAATACCTGTCTTCGACTGTTTATTTCTGCAAAACACTTCAGTTATCCCAGCTTCAACTTGTAGTAACTTTTACAAATTGCAATGTTTTCTGCCTTTTGGTTTCTCTCTTACGTATTCACTTATCAACACCGTGAGGCTTTCTGGATCTTGCACCACCAAGAACCGAATAATTCACATACACGATCTTTTTCCAGCACTACGCCACACAACCGTCACCCACCAGTGTTGGTGAGGTCTCCAAGTGAGACTCTCCAAGTGGAGACTCTCCAAGAAGCCTCCAAGAAGCAAGCCAAAGATGTTGATGTCGAAAGAAGCTACTCCTGAACCCGTTCGAAACCCGCAGGTGTTAAGTCCCGCGTTTAATCTCATCTTGTCCTTAAAACATTGCTTAGCTGCTTGGCTCATTATGTTCTAAGAGTAGTTCTCGAATTGCTTCACCCAGCTGTATAAATTGGAAAATAGAATTAAAATTACCCAAATTATCTTAACTTTAGATCTAGAACTATACACAGCACTTAAATATATAATAATATTAATATTATTATATATTAATAATAACAATAATATATTAATTATTAATATTAATAATATTATATTAATTATTAATATTAATAATAATATATTATTTATTAATATTAATAATAATATATGAATTATTAATATTAATAATAATATATAAATTATTAATAATAATAATATATTAATTAATAATAATAATAATAAATTAATTATTAATATTAATTTATTAATTAATATTAATTATTAATGTTAATAATAACATATTAATTATTAATAATAATATATTAATTATTAATATTAATAATAATATATAAATTATTAATATTAATAATATAATAATTAATAATAATAATAATAATAATAAATTAATTATTAATATTAATAATATAATAATTAATAATAATAATAATAATAATAAATTAATTATTAATATTAATAATATAATAATTAATAATAATAATAATAATAATAAATTAATTATTAATATTAATAATATTAATTTATACAATATTTTAAGACAACTTTTGATTACATACTAAATGCACACTCCACACTCATTAAATGTAAACTAAAACTAATGCACGACCATTTGAATATTAATAATTAATGACCCATTGACAATACTTCATAACTCCCATTAATATAACATTCTACACAATATATACAACAAATAAATATATGACGTTACATATCAGAGACACGGATTTTTTTCTGGCAGCCGTCAAAGCCTATCATCTTTTTTTCTAGGCCGTAGGCACTTTATGGCAAGGTTTTCTCCTGCCGAGGCCTGCACGAGGGGTGCTGCTAGTCACACGCATCAATGTTGAGCATGTTGCAAACCTTAAATGTTGTTTTTTCAACATTTTAAGACGAGAATCACGTGGCGCCGCGGCCCTGCATGCTGTGTTGATGGCGTCTGTTGATCCTCGCTTCTCGTTTTCTATGATTCTCCCGGGTTTTTTGTCAATAAACTATAATTATCGGCCTAATTCTTTTTTTAGGGGGTTAAACTGGATATATATAATTCCTGGAACTACTTTGTATATTTTTATACGTTTTGAGAGGTATGTCACTCGTCTAAATATATGTGTTTGATGTTAAAGAATGTTTGGAGGGATAATCTTACGTGAAATGGTTTCTCGTAATGATCTCTAATATAAACTAATGTGTTGTCAGCACTTTGAGTTCTATTAGACTATGTGAACGTTTCAACAGCAAGTGTTGATCAATATGCCTGTGTTGTTGATGATTGTTGATGATTGCTAAATCACCAATCAATGAATTAGCAAGTGAGCATTATGAATTAGATATTAGCACGTGAGCATTATAAATTAGATATTAGCACGTGAGCATTATAAATTAGTAAATAAGCATTATAAATTAGTAAGTGGGCATTACAAATTTGCAAATGAGAATTAGAAACAGAAATATGGCGCCATTATACCTCTCATCCCTTGGCCAATCACATTGCAGGATCCGCTGGAGAACTGACCAATCGAATACGTTTTATATCAGCTGATATTTATAAACAAACTTTGTACCGCGTCACAGCGTCGTCATGAAGCGGTGCGAGACTAGGTCAATGTGTCGTCGTAAAGGAGTGCGACACTAGGTCAATGTGTCGTCGTGAAGCGGTACGAGAAGGTGTAATCTCCTTATGCTAATCCGAGGCATACGAGTGTTCTAAGACGAGCTTCAAGAGATGAGTGTCTTGGTGTCGGGAGTTTCCCGCCATCATAGGGGTGATCAATTAAGCTCTCCTGAGGTCAATTGAGTGCTGTTGAGCTCTGCTCCTGAGCTCATTTAAGCTTTACTGAGCTCAGTTAAGCTCTACTGTGCTCAGTTAAGCTCTACTGAGATCAGTTAAGCTCTACTGAGCTCAGTTAAGCTCTACTGAGCTCAGTTCGGTTCAAATCAGCTCTCCAGAGCTCAAGGCCAGGCGTGACGGGAAGCCTATGAGCCAGGATTTAGTCTGCTACTGTTTTGCTTCTGCTTTTACGGGCTATTCATGCCCATGCCACCTTTTGGGTGGCTTAACCTTTATATATCAATCAATACTTCTACTCTTCGCTGGTGAGTGCCTGTACTCACCTAGTTATGCTTGCGGGGGTTGAGCTTCGGCTCTTTAGTCCCGCCTCTCATCTGTCAGTTAACTGGTGTACAGGTTTCTGAGCCTGTTGGGCTCTATCATATCTACATTTGAAACTGTGTATGTTCACTATGTATGATTCCTTGAAATTTGTGGTCACTATGACGTATATATTTGCTTATATATGTTATTTTCTCGATTGATTAGCTAGTTTTAGGGTTTCAT